CCTTAAATCACCAAGTGTAATGCAAAGCGTTGGATGCTGTGGTGTAATGTACACCGCCACTGGACTCTAGAGCAGTGGAGACATATTCTCTGGCGTGACAAATCACGCTTCTCTGTCTGACAATCAGATGGACATGTCTGGGTTTGGTGGTTAGCAGGAGAACAGTACTTGACTGACTGCATTGTACCAAGAGTAAAGTTTGGTGGAGGGGGATTATAGGGCGGGGTTGTTTTTCAGGGGTTAGGCTTGGCCCCTTAGTTCCAATGAAGGTAACGCTTAAGGTGCCAGCATACCTAGACATTTTGGACAATTTCATGCTCCCAACTTTGTGGGAACAATTTGGGGATGGCCTCTTCCTGTTCCAACATGACTGTGTACCAGTGCACAAAGCAAGGTCCATAAAGACATGGATGAGCGAGTTTGGGGTGGAGGAACTTGACTGGCCTGCACAAAGTCCTGACCTCAACCTGATAGAATACCTTTGCGATGAATTAGAGCAGATACTGTGAGCCAGGCCTTCTCGTCCGACATCAATGCCTGACCTCACAAATGCACTTCTGGAAGAATGGTCAAACATTCCCTTAGACAAACTCATAAACCTTGTGCACAGCCTTCCCAGAAGAGTTGAAGCTGTTATAGCTGCAAAGGGTGAGCCAACTTCATGTGCATGTAAAGGCAGGTGTCCGAATACTTTTGGCAATATAGTGTATATGCATTTTGTCATAAAATAAAGAACAAACATTTTGTATCCAATATAGTGAGTCATTTTGTTAATCATGAGAGTTCTTATTAGGTTTTCTTTTGACATATATAGATCTTTGGAAAACAGTGAAACTGGAGTTTAGATATAGGGAGTTAATGTGGATTACAAGCTATGTTGCTATCTGGATCAAATGTGAATTCTGATATTTACAGTACACAGTACTGTAACCCTAGGCATTTAGGATTTAGCATCGCTATACGTTTGTTGCATATGATTTCACTCTTCATAAAAATGTGGTACATCATGTTAGCAATTCATTTTTTTTTTTGCAGTGCCCTTGTGAGTCATTCTATCTGCTCTATTACAAACCTAGCATGTTGTAATAATTCTTACCCTGGATGAAGTGTTTATACATGTGAAAACAGTTGGGTTGCTCTTGTGGCTATATAGTATGTGCAGTTTCTAATAAAAAGAAGCTTAGCGTTCAGCTGTCCTATGGCTATGTGAAATTCTCCATTTGTTCCTCTATGGCGCCAATGGTAAGCAGGGGTTTCCTTTTGCTGCAGACCTGTTGGTTAAATAAGGAATCAAAGATGAGACATTTACATATATATTTGCTGTTTTGTAAATGTTTTTTCAGCATCAGAGCACTTCCTTTCCCTCTATCATCATTTCCATATCTGTCTCTTTTTACCGTGTGCCTGTGTTTTGTCTTTATCCTTATGCTTTGCTCACACGCTGTATTTCTGGGTCAGAGCACAAGCCCTGACTGTTTGGAAATCAATATCAGCAAAGCCATGTTGGGAATTCTCAGTTCTCTAAATGCAATTTTTTTTTACTGCCATGGGGACTTCCGCATACATGCTATAGTAAATTGATTTTTTTTCTTGAAATTCTCAGTTAAAAAAAAAAAAACGTAACACAATGATATAAAGAGATGTAAAAAGAAAATACTGTTCTGTTATCATTGAGTATGTAACCTAACTTAAAAACCAGTGTAAAACACGTTTATTTATGTGTACTAATTTTGCATTAATCTTATACGAATGATTACTGCTACACAAACTACTACTACCATTATTGCTCTTTATGGCTACTATGGTGCTATCTGAACAGTTAACAGACAACTCCACTTTTTTTTTTTTTTATAATATTAATAAGAATTTATGTCAGATTTTAACTGAATGTGTTCTTTTTAAGCAGATATTCCTATACTCATCACTTTGCTTTTTGTCTGACTTCCATGATCTGTACTGGAAGTAAGGCTGTGTGACTGTGTCCTCACTTCCTGTTCTGTCTTACACCTGTCAAACAGGCAAAAAGTCAGAAAAATCTCCAAAGACAGAGACATAGATAGCAAGAAAACTTTAACAAAACTTCAAACCTTTCAAAGCCTGAAATTTAACAAATGCTTTGGCTGGAATTCAAATTCAAGCACCCTGAAAACTATTGTTACATTGGTAACACCTGTAATAAAGTACTGTATGCTTCACTTTATGCAGATAGCTGAATCCAGGAGAAATCTTCCCTGCAGGGGTGCCTGTCCTCTTCCTCTGTCTGAACGTCTAGTGTTGTAATTTTTAACAGTTTCAGGTCTTAAGGCAGAACAGCACTACCTATGATTGGATGGGGACACGCCTCCTCCTTCTTCATTTAGAAAGCTTATTTCACTGATTACACTGCTTATAACATGATCTTTATATGTGTAAGGCCTACCGAGCGCACTTAAAAGCAGCTAAATTCACCAAAAGGAACCACAAAAAACCTTTCTAGAATTAGCAGATGTAAATACAGTGCAGCGCTAAAGTGAGTGATAACCAGTAAGGTGCAAATAATAAGTATAAATAAGTATAAATGAAATGTCCAATATGGTATATGCTAAGTATAAATGAAGAGTCCAAGGTATTATATTGAAACTTGATATGCCCAGTGAGGGCACTGATCCCGCCTCCAGATGCGAAAGTATCCTATGTGGGTACTGCCTGGTACTAGGATGATCCTCAAGAGGTCCCTCTGTTTGGTGGTGGGTGACAGGTATGCTGGTCTGGTCTAAGGCTTACTTCTCAGGCCTAGGCAGGACATCTGGAATTCTGGGCTGAGGTGTGGAAGCTTAGTGCAGAACAATAAAAATATAGGTGCTCATAGTGTAGTATTCCAAATTTCATTTATACTTATTATTTGCATATCATTTGTACCTTACTGGTTATCACTCACTATAACATGATCTTTGAATAGGAGAGAGAGTCCCATGGCTGATCACAGATCATTTTACAAGCAATGTAACCAATAATAGAACTTTTCTCAATGACAGAGGAGGAAAGACAGTGTTTCCTTGTCAAATAAACTGTACTACTGTTCTGCTTGAAGACCTGCAATGGTTAACCTTGAGTACTGTTAACTAATTCAGCATCAGAGACATTAAAAGGAAAGGCATCCTGGCAGTAAAGATTTATCCAGGATCCAGCTGCCTGCACAATGTGGGATATCCTTTATTACAGATAAGAGATGTTACTAAAGATGTAGTTTTAAAAAAAAACTAAACTGTATCTTTAAAGTTAAACTCAACTGGGGAAGAGGGACTGCGTACTTTCATTTTATGGCAAACATTCCATAATGTAGTTTGTCCTCCTCTGGCGCTGCGCTCTCTGTTGTTATTTCATTACTGCTGCTGTCATCTTCCTGGATTGCTCATTAAGACCCATTGGGGTTTATTTACTAAAGCTGAAGAGTGCAAAATCAGGTACATTTCAGCATAGAAACCAATCAGCTTCCAGGTTTTATTGCCAAAGCGTAATTGAACAAGCTGAGGTTAGAAGATGATTGGCTACCATGCACAGCAGCACCAGATTCTGAGTGACTAAACAGGCTGAACTGCTGTAATACTGACACTCAATGGCTGAATATCTCCTTGCCATGGGAATTCTGCCATACTGAAGTTTCTATCTGCCAAACCCAGCTCTGATGAAGAAGGGAGCACCCTTCGAAACGCGTTAGCCTTCATCCCCCCCTTTTGGATTTACCTGTAACCCTGTTTGGATTATGGTTACTTATGCCTGTTATACAATCATTTTGTGAGTATATTTCCTTATTAATAAAATTAGTCACTATTTATTGAGGTAATGCGCAAGGTTTGTGCGCTCTTTCTTTCATCTTCCTCTACAGTTTTATTAAGCTTCCCCAGCTTCATGATAGAGCTGCACAACCTCTGATCACCAGTGGATGAACACAGAACACGCTGCTTGTCACTAACGCCTGTTTGATCTGAGTCCTTGAGCGCACCAGATTCTGAGTGAACCAGCTTTAATAAATCTCCCTCAATGTCTTCTTTCGATAAGCAGCCAGAAATTATGCAACTATTGTGAATGTGCACTGGAGTTGTATTATCTTGGCACTTGAGATGATAAGATACTGAACTCTACAGCATCTTACAGCTGCCAAGAGTGTACACTGTACACCACAGTGTACAGTACTTTATAAAAAAAAAAAATGAGAAAGCACTTATAGAGTGAAACCTGCTAAGGCTTCTTTGTTGATGTTCAGTTGTTAGTGCCTTTTATCTGGTTAATAAACCTTCATTTGAGCAGAAAGCACCGTGGACCCATTTGACTGTTACTTGCTAAGGAAGTGTTCTATCCAGGCAAGGTCTAGAATCCAAGGGTTGCTTCTGGAATAATGTATGGGAAATCTGGCCTCATTGGAGGCAACAATGCTATAGTTTAACCTCCCTAGCGGTATGATTATTTCAGATTTTTGGTGCTGAAAGCAGTACCATTATTTTGCATGGAAATATGTAGTTTTTTTATTGTAGGCTGTAATTTTTAGGAATAACTCACTGAAATCTGTCCGAACAAGAGTCTATTAAACATCCCGGGTATGATAAAATTTGAAACACGAAAACATAAATTATAATTTAATAAATAATCATAAAAAATAATAATATAATAATAATACATTTAATTTAATAATATAATCAAACCAAAAACACTGAAATTTGAAATAGAGCACCAAGTTCGCACATCGCTGAGCAAAGTCGCAAAATTGTTTTCAGTGTCTGATGATGAATTTCCCCACAAATCATTATCACTCAATTCTGCAAGTGGTTCTGATTTACTATCGCTGTTCTCTAGCGGATCTAAACCCGCTTTTGACCTAAAGACGGCATGGACTTTTCTCAGTTTCCAGGCAGAAAGAACAGACAAAATGCAGGCAGGGCACAGGACAAAGCACTAGGGACAAAATGTATGTGAAATGGGTTGAAACAGCAATGTTTGGCTATGTAAAATTTGTTTGGAAAAAAATGACATTTTTTAAAATTTTCAAATTTCCCGCCGCTGGCGGCGCCCGTACTTCCCGACGTCACAGGACCGGAACACAGAAGCTGGATGCCGGCATCGGCTGGAGGAGATGGCCAGGTACGCTGCAGGGGACACATCGCGGGAGCGAAGGACAAGGTAAGCTCTGCAGGGACTCCCTATGCAGCGCCGCATGGTAAGCCCGAGTGTAGCTCGGGGTTACCGCTTTTGGTACTGACATTTTACCCTCGAGCTACACTCAGGAATACCGCTAGGGAGGTTAAGGTAAAGCACTTGACACAAGAACTGATAGCTCAATTTTATGTGAAAATGCCTGCACAGAGAGTCAATTACTGGAGCTGGAGCTAGGGACTATGCAAAGACTGTACAATATATTACACAATGATGACTCTAGTATGTTTCAGAAATTAGGATAATGTTTATGTAGAATTGTAGAAATTCATCAGTGCATAAAGGTCTTCCATTGCAAAAGAAATGCTTATTTTTGTCCAATTGGCAAGTTTTATTTAAAAAACATATTTACCTTTAAACAAAATAATACTTATAGCAAGATACAGTTATTTTGTAAGGTGACAAGTTTTCTCAGCTTTTCATTTCATAGTTTATCTCTCATTATTACTTGCCAGTCACTAACAATTAAAACTAATAATTTATTGGTTAGGTAATAACTAAGTTTGCATGGTATTATTAAAAATCCTTCATTGTATTATCCCTTAAATTAACTGCAAATCCTTGAGTACGAAATATGTATTAGAAGCTACAGCAATTTTATTAATATTTTGCTCCACTAATCTTTTATAAAACCATGTAGAAATTCTAAATGAGTTTGAAGAACATTATTAATTGTCATTCTATTTTTGCATGAGAAGGTTTATTTAGTGCTAGAGAAACTCAGTTTCCAATTAATGATTAATACTAGCAAATTTGAATCTGCTCATGAACAGGTTAGTTTAGACTGAATGGTTTTTGGCCTCTGAGTGATTCATAACACACTAGCATGCATTTTATGTCCAATTAGACAATATTTCAGATGAATACATATTATGTAAAGTTTAATTTTTTTTTAATAAAATAATATTATTCTCACCTGCTCTTTACAATGGTATTTCACACAACGGCCCCAAACCTCCTCTTCTCTGGTTCCCAGCCCACACTTTGGGCTCCTCCTCTTCTCAGTGTGCCACCACAGGAAGCTGCTTACTATGGGGGAACACCTGTGGGCTTGCTCCCAAGTTGGGTTGTATGCATCTGTTCACACACAGCGCTCCTGCTGCTGCCTCTGCAGATGAGCACAGTGATGGATCGAGATCTGGCTCAAGTAAGTATACAGAGGGGTGAGGAGGGCATTACAAGTAATAGGACATTTTTTTATCTTAATGCAGAAAATGCATTAAAGTAAAAAATGTCCAGCCTTTAGAGTCACTTTATGCACTTACCCAATGGTGCATGGCGCCAGCCATATTGAAATGTCTCCATCCAACTCTAATTTGTGTGTTCAAGGGTTGTAGTACTGTCAGAAACGTGCTCACATTTGATTAATCTGCCCCATGCTGGGCAGATTTTGGACCAAAGTGTTCAAACGTTTGCATACTTTTTTCAACTGTCCCTTCCCCAATGACCTCTGGCTTGCTCTCTTCCATCTCAAACTCCCTTTTCTCACTAAACCCAAAACAAGCAGCCACCAATGTACTGTACAGTATGTGCTGTTGGCAGCCAAACAAACCATTGATAATGTATGGATTAAGCAATTTGTTCAATTGAAGTAATCCAGGCAATGAATGGGTCTGTTCTTTACCTTAGAGAAACTCTCAAGCATACTCACTCATAGACAGCCATCTTTTACACATTTCCCATTTCTTACCATATGACCCCCATGGAATCAATGCCTATGCTTTAGTTCCAATTGATTTATACTTCTTTATAGGCACCCATACCTGTAGAGACATGTCACAGAGATTCTGGAGCCTTCTTTTGCTCTTCCACATCCATTTCTTCCTTCCTTCTTCCCCGGGTTATCTGTTTTTATTTTTTCTTGTTCCCTTCTTTTCATTCCATCCTGCTTTTGTTACTCCTGCACTTGCAGAGAGTTTACTGTGGATCATAAGCCTCTACACTGGGCAACACGATTCCTTGACTTTGCTATTTTCAAAGATAAGCATATGGACTTATATGAACATTTTCATTTTATTGTAAACTAATCAAACATGATGATCTTAATATGCAACTCTTTATAACGTTGATGAAAAAATTAAAATTAAAATTATGTATTATTTAGTCAAATGTACCATCTCAGTAGAACTGATCATAAAAAAGACAAAGGGTATTAACTAATTGTGGAGCTGTGACATACAAATGGGCACAGAGGGAGCTGATCACTGAGAAAAGGGTAAGTGCCAGAGTTGAGTATGGACTATAAGGAATGAAAGAAGAGGCAGAATGGTGGCTAAGGAGGCAAAATTGACACTGGGAGAATGAAAGAGATGTAAATACAGTAAGTATATGATCATGAATATTGGGGAAGACAAAGCAGGCAGTCCTTGTGCTGATCAATGACAGAAGGAAGTTAAACAGTGGCAGCAGAGAGATCTTGGATTGATGGAAGAGGCAGAAGCTGGTGGAATCTGACAGTAGAGAGGGGCTAGAAGAAGCTGAGTGAGGTTGCTGGGAGTTAGAGGAAACGGAAGTAGCTTAGTAGTTGGGTACCACTGAGAGAGGAGTCAGAGAATGAGCTGATGGTGGAATGGAGGAAGGGGTTGTGTATGAATGGTCACTTTCCCAATGGACAATAGCAGTGTATGAATGGTTCAGTATTTGCATCGATCTTCTTGAAGAAACAAGAAGTTAGCAAACATCTTTGGGAAAAAAGAGTATTTAATATAAGTGAAACAATAGACATCAAGTCAGGGGTGAGATTGAGCTTTCTTTGGTCACACTTAAATTTCACTTTAAAACAGAGAGAAAACAACTCTATTCAAAGTTTTTGCCATGTTACAGTTGCCCAAATGGACATTTTTCACTTCCTTAAGTGGGAATGTTGATTGTTTCTGCTTGTTCATTTCTGGGGAGGTTCCAATAGTAAGTGTAGGAGGAATATTGAATGAGTTTATGAGTTATGCAAATGTACATGTACCAGCCAGTCAATTAGGAGATTGATTAGTGGTGTGAGCCAGGGGAAGGTGATAAATATTTTGAACAACCTTTCAGGGTTTTCTTCTTTCCTCCAGGATCTTCCTGTGATGAAGCTGTGTTCAAAGTCCTTGCACTGCTGAGTCTATTCTAATCTGGGTTCTGTTCAGAGTAACCTCCTGTAACAAAGGAATGTACCAGTGTCTGCCCACATACAGTAAAGCCAGCCATAGAAGATTTGAATCTTGATGGGTTCAGCAGGAATCAGACAAGATTCGAACCATGTTTTGGCAGGCTGAATGTACCCAGGTTTATCGGTCAATACAACCAGCCTGTTGTATTTACATGCAATTATTGCTAGTGGCTATATGTAGCCGCTAGCAGTATTCACTGTGCTCTCCTGGCATGAGACTAATTGTGTTGATGGGGGTATCAAGCTATTTTCTTTCCTGTAACCAATGGTTGCAAGAAAGAAAATCACTCTGTGGGCCTAAGTGGAGCTGAACTGGTCATATGGCGGAAACATTCTGCTTATCTGTAGATTTGGAGTGTCTGATGTGCTCATTTGAACTATGAGGGAGATTTGTTGAAATTAGTACACTCAGAATCTAGTGCAAGTGTGCATGGTAGCCAATCAGCTTTTAACTTTAGCTTGTTCAATTAAGCTTTGGCAATAAAACCTAAAGTTCATTGGTTTCTATGCAGAGTTGCGTGCTCCAGCTTTAGTAGAAAAACCCCTATGGGTGTATAAAGCAAGAAGAAGGTATCTGTAAGAAAGCCACAAAGGTTTCTGTAAGATGATCTGAAGAGAAGTGGGTCACTGTGTCTTTGGGTATGTTGTTCCGTTATTATTGCTCCTTTGTGTGTTCAGCAATAAAACAACAAAAATCCAGATAAAGTGACTTGCACCCACTTTGTTGACACATTCCAAGCCAAGGATTTAGTGATGTGAATTGAATGTGCCAGGGAGCTTAAAGTGTTACTACAGTAAATTAGTCTATATATGCAGTAAAGCATGCTTGTTATACTCACTGTGGAACCTAAGGGGTTAATTCTCCACATTGTGTAAAAAGGATGTTTGATCTTGTCTCCTCTGATCCTCCCCTTCTTCCAGTGTCTTCTAAGTATCTCCTGATACAACATTGGTGTGGAGTCACTCTGTACATGCTCAGTTTGGTGTTTGGTGTGTATGGCTAGAGAGACAGTGCATGTGATCAGCACAAGGCCAATCAGCACTGTCCAGACAGAGGTCAGGGGTTCTGCATGCTCTAGAGCAAAATTAAAACTTCTCCTACAAGCTTTCAGACTGCTATATACTGCTGATGAGAAAAGGTATTTAGCCGTATATATTTACTAAAAATAATTGCATTTCCATGCTCTGTGTACTGTGGGAGACCAGATATAGTGAATGCAGGGTCCTGGGTTTAGTAACACTTTGAAGTAAGTAGACTGGGACAATCATGAATTTAAATCTACTTGACTGCTTGATGGTTGTTTTACTTGTAGTGCTACATATGCAAACCTTTTTGCCTGACCACCCCAATCTGGTATTGGACAATAAAGGATTAGCAGCACACCAATGGGACAAGCTCTGAGCTCCCCTCTTGTCAGCATATTCTGAGTATTGGACAGAAATGTCATGTTTAAATATAGCTACATACTAAAACAATTTCCCTTTGTATTATCTTCTTGCTTTCATGACAGACCTGTTGCATCTCATATGGCTGCCTGTGTGTTGCAGTGTAACACTGGTGGGATGCCTTTTTGATAACTGCTGCAGCGACTTATAATATTTAAAAATAAAAGATTTTACATCTCTGTATAAACACATATTTGACATTTCTTTAAAATGACAAGTGTCAACATCTGGATTTTACATGGGGCTAAGCCACAAAGGCAATTTTCATCTTATGCTATTGAGAAATTGAAACATTTGCTGACAGTCACTGCATTAGGCCTGAGCTGCACAGGAGATTTTAGTAGCTCCACCATGCTTTTAAAAGTGATAGTGATTAATTGCTAGGAGTAGCATTTAATCACTAAGCAGATTGAACATATGGTTCCCTGTGTAGTAATCTACACAAGTAGCATCTAGTAGCGATCAATCTCACATGAACGCACAATACTTCAATCATGCGGGATTGATTGCTACAAAATTAGTAACACAATTCAGCTACCTAAAATCTCCCATGTACCAATCAGATGACTGCAAGCAAGTGGTTGACTTTTTCAACAGTAACGAATTAAAGTGTACCTAAACCCGAGATCAAAAATATAATATTTTGCAGCTTACCATTCTTTAGATGTTGTGGTGGCATTTGTTTTCTTATTTAAGGCTTTTTTCCCTTTATTTTCACCTTGTGATTCTGCCAGTAACACATTTTTTTTCCATAGTATAATGTATCTGTGGAGAAGCAGAGGCGTCCGTAGGGTTGGTGTTACCTGGTGCGGTAACATGTGGTGTCACCCCTCCAGAGAGGAAGGACCGGTGCCGGTGTAGTGGTAAAATGAGTGTCCCGACCCATGAAGATATGTATCCCCTGAAGCAACTGTGCATGTGCCAGTTTCAGATCGAAGAAGCCAATCTCCGACTTTAGCACAGAGCTGCCACAGTTAACCCCTTACAGACTACGAACCGCTGAAGCTGATCCCGTGGATCACTTTGGGTTACAAGATCAGTTAACCCCATATAGGTTCCTGAAGCTGATCCCGCGGATCACTATGGGTTGCAAGATCAGTTAACCCCATATAGGTTTCTGAAGCTGATCCCGCGGATCACTATGGGTTACAAGATCAGTTGCACCTATACGGGGTTAACTGATCTTGCAACCCATAGTGATTGACGGGATCAGCTTCAGCAGTTTGCAGCCTCTAAGGGGTTAACTGTGGCAGCTCTGTGCTAAAGTTAGAGATCGGAGGACAGCTTCTTTGGCCTGAAACCGGCACATGCGCAGTTGCTTCAGGGGATACATATCTTCCGGGATGCTCATTTTACCGCTACATGGCGGCAGCTGCCACTGTGCTGGGAATCCACGACCACCCCAATAACTGGCCAGGAACTTCACAGAGCCCAGAAGCTCTACTGGCATCCTGCTCCTGCACTCCCTGTGATGGTGTCACCCAATGCGGCCTGCACCCCCCGCACCCCCCTAGGGACGCCACTGTAGAGAAGCAGTTTTCACCCTAGGACAAGATTATGGAACATCTCCCATTCTCCTTTTTTAACCTCCCTGGCGGTATTCCCGAGTGTAGCTCGGGGTAAAGTTTCTGTACCACAAGTGGTAACCCCGAGCTACACTTGGGCTTACCATGCGGCGCTGCTCCGGGATCCCTCGATCACTTACCTTGTCCTGCGCTTCCGCGATGTCCCTCCTGTAATGTAATGCAATGTAATCCGGCGGATGCCGGCATCTGTCTTCTGGGTTCCGTCCCCTGCGAGCGTCGGGACGTACGGGGGACGGAACGGCGGGAAATTTGAAAATGACAAAAAGTGACATTCACTAAAATCACTAAAATCACATAGTAAAACATTACTGTATCAAACCATTTCACATACATTTTGTTCCTAGTGCTTTGTCCTGTGCCCTGCCTGCATTTTTACTGTTCTTTCTGCCTGGAAACTGAGAAACGTCCATGGCCTCCAAAAAGTGTCCCTTTAGGTCAAAAGTGGTTTTAGACCAGCTAGAGAACAGCAATAGTAAATCAGAACCACTTGCAGAATTGAGAGATAATGATTCGTGGGGAAATTCGTCATCAGACACTAAAAACGATTTTGCGACTTTGCTCAGTAATGTGCGAACTTGGAGCTATATTTAAAATTTCAGTGTTTTTGGTTTGATTATATTATTGAATTAAATTTTTATTATTATTATATTATTATTTTTTATGATTATTTATTAAATTATAATTTATGATTTCGTGTTTCAAGTTTTATCCTACCCGGGATGTTTACTAGACTCTTGTTCGGACAGATTTCAGTGAGTTATTCCTAAAAATTACAGGTCTACAATAAAAAAAAATACATATTTCCATGCAAAAAAATGTACCACTTTGAGCACAGAAATATGGACATAATCATACTGCTAGGGAGGTTAAAAATAGAAGAGAGGTGTTCAGCTGCCATAACTGTGAAAAATCCTAACTTTTGAGAGTTAACAAAAGCAGAAAGAGCAGTAGAAGCAGTAGAAGTTCATTGTAGGGTTTATGTGCACTTTAAATAAGACTAGAAAATATTGTATATTGTGGCCTCTTTATTTTGCTACTGTAGACCCTGGCCCACAAGCCACATGTGAATAACTAGAAGCCTGTTCTTTAATCTATGCACACTTGTGATTATGCTCTGACGGTTTCTCTTTCCAACTCTTGGGTCCCTTGCATTGTGCATTTATACTCTGCTATGCTACTATTTGTACATCCCTATCATTTTGAGCAGTTACACTGTTTAAAGCTTCCAAAGGCACCAATAAATCAAAGTATAATCTAGACTCCTATACCTTATAGCTTCTTTAACACTTACATACTGATAATCATTCTTGTTTTAATTATTTAAAGTACAGATGGTTGCAATGTGCAAATACCTGATTCTCCCCAGTATAACCATGATGCACAGCAATTTCAAACTTCTTAACAAAAGATGGCATGTACGTCAGTATGGAATGGTATAAAACCAGCTGCAGAGCTTATCATAACAAAAAAAGAGCTTCAAAAATTAGGAAAACACATTTTTTATTTGACATGGTATCAGACTGACATGGTTTTAGAAAAGCAAATGTTTCAGTGTAGAGTCTACCTTTATGATAGAAGTTGTCATCCTAGGTATCCAATAGGATCCAATGGGTCATTTTTGCTGTGCTACTTCAAAACCACAACCTTCCATGTAACTTAGGCTAGCTGTAGATGGGCAGACTTTTGAACTAAAATTCTTAGGAAAAGAATGTACTAAGAAAAATCTTTTGTTCAGTGTTCGTTTTCTACTGCAGTGACAACAAAATTTGAAGGAGCAGGATAAAATATTTTTTCTCGAGCTAATTAATTTCTAACAGTGCATGTGCTTTTTTGTTTGACAAAGTTCATTCATTCCAAAATCAAATGTTAAATGCAAATTAAAACTTTCAAATGACATTTAAATGTTCTGGGAATTTTTTGTTTGAGATTTCTTGAAATTTTTTCCTTAGAATTTTTGTTTGAAATTCTATCCATCTATGGCAGCCTTATACAGAGATTAAGGTGTTACTAAACCCACAACAGTGAAATCAGTCTCCATATGCAGTAAAGCATACTCACTGTGGAACCTAAAAGGTTAATCCTCTGCATTGTTTAAAAATGCTGTTTGATCCTGACTTCTATGATTCTCCCCTTCTTCCAATGTCTCCCTCTCATCTCCTGATAAGACATGTCATGTGGAGACACTCTGCACATGCTCAGTTTGAGAGGTTTTTTTTTTAAGTGGGAGAGTGCATGTGATCAACACAGGGCCAATCAGCACTTTCCAGAGGCCAGGGGTCCTGCATCCTCCTAGAGCAGAATGAAAACTCCTCCTACAAGCTTTAACATGTGCTTTGCTGGACACTGATAGGAGTCAAAAGACTGCTCTAACTGCTGATGAGAAAAGGTATGTAGCAGTTTTATATTTACTAAAATAATTGCATTTCCATGTAGTGTGTACTGTGGGAAACCAGATAATATGTAGGGTCTTGGGTTTAGCATCACTTTAATATGCAGTACCAACCAACCTTTAGCATTTGTTTGATTGAGCTGGTTGGTTTCACATTTAGTTCAGGTTGATGGCTGTTTTTAAAAGCTTTACAGGGGCTCCTCAAGGGGAGAATATGCAATAAATTAAACATGAGAATTGTCTGCTTACAGGTTAGGTTCACCAGATATGAGGGTAAGTGCTTTTTTCGGAACACCCTCTGAAACAGTATGCGGAGTACCCTGGCAGTGCATGGGCTATTTGGACTGGTACATGGTACAGTAACAGAAAATCATAAGTTTATCATTTGTTTTGGAAGCAGTGATGTAAATTGAGCATTTGAAGGCAGTCAACCACATTTCTGCCCAACCTTCAGATGTTAAATCTTGATCAAAGTCTTCCTCCCACTTCTGCATAAAGCCAGGAGGGAAGAGACAGCCACCAAAATGACAGAGAAAAATCCATGTACAGTACCAGAACATCATATGTCTATCATTTGTTTTGGAAGCAGTAATGTTAATTGAGCATTTGGAGGTAGTCAACCACATTTCTGTCAAACCCTCAAATGTTAAATCCTGATCAAAGTATTCCTCCCAATTTGCATATAGCCAGGAGGATAGAGAAAGCCACCAAAATGACAGAGAGAATAATCCATGTAATTATGCCAAAGGAGTGTGGGTCGTTGCTACAAATATTCTCAAAGGGGTACAGTGTGAGCAAAGACTCTGTGTTTTAAAGAAGTTTTTTAATTACAGATGGCAAACTATTTCTGATGAGGGTATTTTATGTGATAGTCTCAAAGCTTCAAAAGACCTAACCCCCTGGAGAGTGAAATGTTAGAAATCAAAGCTTGGGTAGAAAGTGGGGCAAGTGTAGTTTCCAAGATAATTTATTATTGTCCCATATCTTTAGGGAATTGTCGCGACAGGGTTTGTAACACACTGTGGGATTTATTTACTAAAGCTTTTTTGATAACCCACTAGAACCTTTCTGCTTATCTGTAGATTTGGAGTGTCTGATGTACTCATTTGAACTATGGGGGAGATTTGTTGAAATTAGTGTACTCAGAATCTGGTGCACCTGTGCATGGCAGCCAATCAGCTTCTAACCTCAGCTTGTTCAATTAAGCTTTAGCAATAAAATCTGGAAGCTGATTGGTTTTTATGCAGAAGTGCACCATATTCTCAGTGAACCAGCTTTTTAGTAAATAAACCCCGGTCTGTGATAGTGTGGGAGTCAAAGAATAGTGGCAACAGTGATTGGAGTTGTAGAATAAGCTTAGATACTTGTCAAAAGGGGGAAGGGAAAAAAGGGGATAGGTTTAGTGTTAATCCCAGTTCATGTACTGACTGGGATTAACAGTTCCAGTAGAGCATATATTTTAGCTGGGGCTCCTAAAAAAAAACAGTCCCATCTTGTAATAAGAATATACATTTCCACCCTCTGACAGTGTGATAGTACTGCTAGGACAGTAGATTTCTGATGCCATTGTCTTCAACAGTTGTGTTCAATAATAATATACAAAAAAACAAGATATACGTGTGCTAAAATCCCAATAGCTAGTACATGCATTTATCCATCAAGTGCTAAAAGGATGTAACAATGTATTAACACTAGAAATTCTGAGGGGCCCTCTGCACACTGGTATATACACTTTCAAGCAGTCTCTGCAATAAATAGGGATATTTAGTTCACACATATTGCAATACATGTTTAAACTGGCCAACTGCGTCAAAGTAATCCCTCTATGGCCAGTCCTACTCTGCTCTGCCTACGTAAAATGCTACTGTGGACACAATACCAACATAGGGGAAAAGATGAAGTGGGGGAGAGCTACCAATAATAATATAAAGTGTGTCCAGAAAGTATTCACAGTGCTTAACTTTTGCCACATTTTGTTATATTACAGACTTATTCCAAAATGGATTAAATTCATTTTTTCCTCAACATTCTACAAACAATACCCCATAATGACAATGTGAAAGAAGTTTGTTTTGAAATCTTTGCAATTTATTAAAAAATAAAAAAACGGGAAAAAAAACAGCCATAACACTCACATTTGAGCTCTGGTACATCCTGTTCCCACTGATCATCCTTGAGATGTTTCCACAACTTGATTGGAGTCCACCTGTGGGAAATTCAGTTGATTTGACATGAATAGGAAAGGCATAAACCTGTCTATATAATGTCCCACAGTGCATGTCAGAGCACAAACCAAGCCATGAAGTCCAAGGAATTGTCTGTAGACCTCTGAGACAGGATTGTATCAAGCCATATATCTGGGGAAGCGTACAGAAAAATGACTGCAGCATTGCATGTCCCAATGAGAACAGTGGCCTCCATCATAAATGGAAGGAGTTTGGAACCACCAGGAATCTTCCTAGAGCGGGCCACCGGGCCAAAATGAGCAATCGAGGGAGAAGGGCCTTAGCCAGGGAGGTAACCAAGCACCTGATGGGCACTCTGAAAGAGCTCCAGCATTTCTCTGTGGAGAGACGAAAACTTTCCAGAAGAACAACCATCTCTGCAGAACTCCACCAATCAGGCCTGCATGGTAAAGCGGCCAGACGGAAGCCACTCCTCAGTAAAAGGCAAATGGTAGCTCACCTGGAGTTAAAAGACACCTGAGGGGCTCTCAGACCATGAGAAACAAAATTCTCTGGCCTGATGATACAAAGATTGAACTCATTGACCTGAATGCCAAGGGTCATGTCTGGAGGAAACCAGGCACCGCTCACCACCTGGCCAATACCATCCCTACAGTGAAGCATGGTGGTGGCAGCATCATGCTGTGGGGATGTTTTTCAGCGGCAGGAACTGAGAGACTAGTCAGGATTGAAGGAAAGATGAATGCAGCAATGTACAGAGACATCCTTGATGAAAACCTGTTCCAGAGCGCTATGGACATTAGACTGGGATGATGGTTCATCTTTCAACAGGACAACGACCATAAGCACACAGCCCACATAACAAGTGGCTACAGGCCAACTCTGTGAATGTCTTAGAGTGGCCCGGCCAGAGCCCAGACTTGAACCCAATTGAACATCTCTGGAGAGATCTGAAAATGGCTGTGCACCAATGCTCCCCATCCAACCTGATGGAACTTGAGAGGTACTACAAAGAAGAATGGGAGAAATTGCCCAAAAATAGGTGTGCCAAGCTTGTAGCATCATACTCAAAACAACTTGAGGCTGTAATTGGTGCTAAAGGTGCCTCAACAAAGTATTGAGCAAAGGTTGTGAATACTTGTGTACATGTGTTTTATTTTCCGTTTTTTTATTTTTTTCAAAACAAACTTCTTACGCATTGTCATTATGGGATATTGTTTGTAGAATGGTGAGGAAAAAAATAAATTAATCCATTTTGGAATAAGACTGTAACATTACAAAATTTGGCAACGGTTAAGCGTTGTGAATACGTTTTGGATGCAGTGTATCTGACCTAAAGAAAGTCAACATGTAATACATGGCTCTTTCAAGCACAGTATTTGGAATAATTTCCCTATGTGAATTCCCCTATTTGTGTTATTATATGGCAAGGTTTACATAGCTTTTTCTGCATATATTTAGCAGCGAAAGGTCATGTAGTTTGTCCTTTTCAGCATTTCGCTCCTTACGTATTGCTCACACCTTTTTTTTCAC